GGCAGGATGTCTTTTGGGGTTCCCATATAGCATCGTGCATTCTGCACTGGTACCTACCAGAGTAGAAAAAGTTTGTTTATTTTTAGGACCCCAGTATATGGTAGCTGGCACATAGGGCCTCTAGTCACCCCTTCCCCATAGCCCCACATTGGAGGTGACCTTGGCCATCTTCCTAAGGGAAGGGAGTCAGGGGTATCTATCCCATCTTCCCTTAGAGCTGCTATGGGCTGTGCTCTTTGACACTCCCCCTCCCCAAGGTGGAATGGACTAACCCTGCTGCACACCCTCATACCCCAAGAAGTACTGCTTTGAATGGACAGAACCAATCCAGATGAAGCTTTCACCTCACCCCCTCATTTCCACACACAGTAATCAATTACCAATTTTAGGTTTTAGCATTAAAACAATAACTCCAAATAATTTAGTTAACAACCTTATAATTTTCCTAAGTGATAGCCAAATTGTTTTAGCTGTAACCTCCTCTTAACTACAGGCAAAGGTGGAAATGGCAGTTATAAATCATTATAAGACATGTTTAGCAGGGCTGATACAATAACATAACTGGTTTGAAACAATTTTTTCACTGTCTTTTAATTTTTTTCAAAACCTACTTTAATCATATCCAAATTGTGAAACATTACTTGACATAACTGATACAAAAGTTTACTAATTTGAAACAACATTATGTGTTTGAAACTTGAAATAAACCTATTACCAATTAGGGGACTCCAATTCTGTTGAAGGCATTTCCAAATTACCATACATAGAAAACCATCGCATCACCATTGGCATTGTATACTGGTCACATCTAATTAAGGAACTAATAATAATAGGTAACATTTATAGTGTCTGCCCTCTGCCAAGCATTGAGTTAAGCACTTTACACTCATATGAAGTAAACTGGTGTCACTTGCTTAGGGTCTTCCAGTTAACAAATTTCAGATCTATGTTTTTCCCAGTTTGTCTTAATGCCAAATAATATAATAAATTCTGACTTAAGTATCAAATTAGGAGAGACAATATTTCCCTTAAGATGTAACTGGAATGAATTCAATTACCTGGATCTATGTTCTAATGGTATTACACAGAATCTGAGGTTATGATTTTAATACTAACTACAGTATTATATTTTATATAAGTGCTATTTATTCCAGTCATTTACATTAGTGGGTCCACTATTTCCAGCCAATCTACTGCCAAAGACTGTAAAAGTGAAAATCTGGTATTCATATTTAATCTACTCCAATTATCACACTTAAGAGCATATTTTAATTTAGTTCAAATCTCAGTTCCACAATCTTGGAAGGAGCCCATAGTTCTCTATAATTTCTTCTTATGAATAGGAGTCTCATGTAATTTAGTCAAGTTTCCAATTTTAACACACATCCCAATTTAAAAAGTTATTTTAAAATTGACAAGTACTTAATTTTAGCTTATAAGACTCCCTAAATTCTAGCTAAATATTCCATACAAACTCAATTACCTTTTAGTTGTTTCCCAATTCACACAAACCTTTCCCCTTTTGTGGGCCAGGAAAGAGTTAAGTGCCAGTTCTATTCCAAAGTACAAGCCTTGAAACTTTCACTGACAGCCCCCAAACCCATTTCTCTATAATCAGTGAAGTGATCTTCCTTTAGATCTGAGGGGAAAAAGTTTCCCCCCTTCCTTTTTTTCCTTGTCCTCCTTTTATACCCCAGAATCTGGCCACAGTTCAGGACTGTAGAGGGAGAGAACATAATACATACATACATACACACACACACACATACCCCCTTTTAGGGGTTTAATTAACAAGACACAGAAAGATTTACCAGAACATATCTTGTTTCTTTCAAATTCTATTCCTACTCAAATAATTGTCACTTCACTAAAAATGTTTTCTATTTCTCTCTCTCTTTTCTGTTCACCCAGGCTGCTGCAGTCAGCCAAGGATGGAGGGAAGGAAGGAGAAAGAGACTGTCTCACAATTACATGCCTTGTCACGTTCTTATCTATATATTTAACTCCCTTCAACCTGGCTAAGCAGCAAACCAATGTTTCTACTTGTTTCTTCTAACTGGAATTCCTTTGTATTCTCAACCTCTGAGTCCAGGAACTTGGTAGTGACTTTGAGTCTAGGAACTTGGTAGTGGCTTTTTTTAATGCTATGAGGAGGGGTTAACCTACTGCCACTACTTTCTTCCTCCTTTTCCCAACCTGATGGAACATGATTTCATCAGAAGAAACTCTAGGCCTTCAGTGTTTTCAAGGCATCCTCCTACTCACACAGCCCCTACCACATGGAGGCCATCCAGGGATTCCCCCACCCTCAACCTATCCCTTACTCCTTCGGCATTCCTTTGGTATTCTGCCCAACTACACCAATTGTAAGGTCTGGAATTCCCCTGGCTGGGGAACCCTGTACCTTCCCAACAACCAGGGTGTATTTTTTTGGTACCAAAGGAAGAGGCCAAGTCCAATTAGGACCCCACACATGCTCAAGATACAAACAAAGAAAAGAATGACTCTAAATCATCTATAAACAATGACTCAGAAAAGAAAGGAAAGAAAGAAAAATTAGGTTGGGCAGAAACTCAACTAGAATTCTTAGAAGAGCTGAGGTGAGAGTTCAAAAAAACTTTTAAAAATATTTTTTATGAATTAAATAAGAGTACTTGAGGAAAATATCGGAAAAGAAATGAGAGCAATGGAAGAAAGAATTAGAGAATTAAAAGCTCAGCACAGGAGGTACAAAAACCTTGTCCATGCAACAAGCCCACTGAAAATTAAAATGAATCAAATAGAAGCTTATATTCCATGAGGCAACAATAAATATCGAAGTCAAAAGATTTTTTAAAAAATAGAATAAAATGAAAATGTACAAGGAAGCAAAGAAAAGATGGACAGCTCTGAACACAATGTGTAGTGTTTATTATATAGGTTTGAATCTTCTCTTATGTTCTGTGTTTTTTTCTTATTTTGCATTTAAGTTTATAATACATTTCTTATTCTTTTCTTAATGTGTATTTAAGTTTAAAATAAATTTTTAAAAAAGAAGAAAAGGTAAGGTATCTCATTGCAAAAACAACTGACATAGAAAACATCAAGGAGAAAAAAAATTAAGAATCATTGGACTAACTGAATGATATGACTAAAAAAGAACCTAGACATCCAATTTAAGAAATCTTAAAGGAAAATGCCCCAGATCTCTCATAACCAGAGGACAAAATGGAAGTACAAAGAATCCATAAATCTTTTCCTGAAAGAAACTCCTAAATAAAAACTCCCAGAAACATATACCACAGTCAAAATCCAGAGTTTCCCAGAAAAAGAAAAAAACATTGCAAGTACCACGGTGCAAAGTACTGTGGTTCAGGATCATACAAGATTTAGCAGCCATCACTCTAAAGAAGCATATAAGGCAAAGGATATGAGCTTATAGCTAAGAAAAACTTGCCCAGCAAAACTGATTATAATGCTACAGGGGGAAATGAGAAAGTACTGCCAAAGTACTCCTAACAAAAAGGCGAGAGCCATAAAGAAAGTTTTAAGTTCAATACAGGAGCAGAGAAAAATTTAAAAAGGTAAACATGAACACACAATGACAAAAGACTCAACAAGGATAAACTGCTTGCGGTCCAATATGGGAAGATGATGTATGTGTCTCCTCAGAACCCAATCATCAGGGAATACCGGGAGTCTAATTAGACAGGACCTGGGAGCTGGTCTGTTATACAATGAAGATCTTAAGAATGGAAGGACAGAGGAAGAGGAATACAGATGCACAAACATATTTAAGGCTCTTTGAGGTGGTAAAGATGCAATATGAGGGGGTGCCCATAAACTGGGAGATGGATGAACAAGTTAAGGTATATAAATATGATGGAATATTGTGCTGATCTCTTATCAGTGTAAACCACCAATCCAGGGATTAATGATGAAATGTTATCCATCTCATGATAGAGAGGTGATGTACTCAGAATGAAGAATGAAACTTTTTTTTGTGAACATAGTCAATGTAGAAATTTGTTTTGATTCATTTGATTCATTTTTGTAATGGGTTTTTTTTCTTGTGTTCTCATTTGAGGAGGAAGTTTTGGTGAGAGGGTAGGAAGGCAGATTTTGATTAAAACAAAATATTTCTTTAAAAAAATAAAGGAAGTAAGTGGAGGGTAGATGACCAAGATAGGCTCACCAACATGTTCTTCTTCAGCTCTCAGCAGGCGGAGGGGAAGGCCTTTGCTTATCAGCTGTGAGTTTCCATTGATGGGCTATGGATGAAAGGGGACGAGGAACCAGTAGCCAGAGATAAAGATTCCCGCTCAACCCTTCCTGGGCATCCTCGTGTGTGGTTGGAGACCAGAATATGACTGCTTTGTGGCTACCAGCTCCTCCTAGAAGCCTTCAAAAATACAAGACAGTCTGTACATCTGTGTGGTCTGTACTTAGAGTCCAACGGGGTAGGTTCATGCCTTCTCTCCCCTTGTTCATTAGAAACTGTTATTGCTCATTTAAGCAATAAATCATTTCAGTAAAGTGTTTTGATAAGATTCCTTTCACTGCCTATTCTGTAAACAGCGAAGCTTCCTAGTCCCAGAAATTTGATATGAGTTAGTTAATTCCACAAGTCTGCTAACTTCTCAACAAAATCCTCCTGGTTGGGAGGTCTTGACAATGTGCTTAGACATCATGACCTTTATTTATTTGTCACAGTTCTTCTGAGCTGAAGTCATGATTTGTCAGGAGGCTTTCAGCTTCTCTCATGTACCATAGTTCTTGCACCATCTCCATCCTCTGAAACTCTGAAGCAGAAATCAAAAATAGCTCTTATAGAGTGCTTGAAGTTTTGCAAGGAATTTTATTCATGTTCTCATTTGATCCTCAAAACAACCTCTCAAGATAGGAGCTATCATTATCTTTACTTTTCACACAGTTAAGTAAATATCTGAGTTAAGATTTAAACTCAGGTCTTCTTGTCTCCAAAGTCCAGCACTGTATTATATCCACTGGGCCATACAGGCAAAAACATTGAATGCTTCATGAACTTCTATGTCATTCTTATGCAGGAGCCATGCTAATCTGTCATTCTAGTTTTTGTATCTGTGTTCAAGTATGAGTTATTTAGACCTATAGAGAAAAAAATTAGATTAGAATAGTAATCACTGGAAACTACCATGGGTTCAACAAGAACAAAAGACATCATAGTATGATAGAAAGGACATTGAACTTGGAGTCTGAAGAACTGGGTTCAAGTTTTAGTCCTACCAACAAATAGTCCTTGCAGACTTAAGAGGTTTCAAAATACTAATAGTCCACCCCAAGGTAACATGGAACGTAAAAGACAGTAAAGCAAAATGGCTTTATTGAGGAGACATACAATATGGAGAGAAGAGAAGAATGCTGGAAACAGGTCAGGTGTAATGGGGCCCTAGGTGGAACCAAGTGCACTCTCCTGTAGCCCCAAAGACAACAGGGCATCCTCCCAAACCAATAAAGTTTAGTAGGTTTTTAGGGTTTTTATGTGGATCTAGCAGAACTAGGCATTGAGGGAAGGGACCTGGACCTGAGGACTGATGTTGATTCATGCTAGTGGTGAGAAAAAAGATTCCTGGAGAATTTGTGGCAACTTGATAAAGGGAAAGGGTCTTTGAGCTGATATACTGGTCTTACTCTGGCAAGATAACTCAGCTTTCCTGTCTTGGGGCTTCTTTGTTTTCTAATGAGATGGAGAGGCTACTGGGATCATTACATCTGCCAAATACAAGACACTAGTGGGGGCAGCTAGGTGGCTCAGTGGATAGAGCACTGGCTCTGGATTCAGAAGGATCTGAGTTCAAATCCGGCCTCAAACACATAATACTTACTAGCTGTGTGACCCTGGGCAAGTCACTTAACCCCATTGCCTAGCCAAAAAAAAAAAAAAAAAAGACACTAGGGATAGAACTTGTACTCTTACCAGGGATACAATTTATAAAATGCTAGACTTACAGACAGGAAGTCCTGAGTTCAAATTCTGCTTCAGACACTTACAAGCTGTGTGACCCTGGGCAAGTCACAACTTCTTTCAGCCTCAGTTTCTTTATCTGTGAAATGGAGATAATAATAGCACCTACTCACAGAACAGTTGTGAGGATTAAATGAAATGATATGTAAAAGCACAGGTATTTTACAAACCTTAAAGTAGGATATAATGCTATCTATCTAAGGAGGGAATGAGTACAAATACCTAGAAAAATTGGGCTTCTTGGACTGAGTGGTGCTTGGGTTGATCTTCAAAGGAAAATAAAGGGTTTTGAAAGGTAATATTGAGGAACTAAATCCCAAACATAGAACATGGCTTGTAGGAAAGCATAAAAAAAAAGAAAGAGTTCAAATACCAAACAGCCAAAGAAAGGATCACAGAAGATTTAGGAGTTGTCACTTGAAGAAAGGAAGAGCTTGTAATCTGATACTCTAAAAGGTAAAATATAAAGACTTACAACCAAGAATAAATATTATTCAGCAAACTAGGAATACGGGGAGGGGATTAGGGTGGGGAGAGGAATAAACCTTTAATCAAACAGAGTATTTCCAAACATTATTGATGCAAAGGCCAGAACTGAATAGACACAGGAGCCAAGGGAAATCTAGAAAGGTCCACACATTTATTTAATTGGAAGGGAATATGTGGGCAGGAATTGTTTACATGCCAATAGGAAGATAAGAAACAAATGTTTTCTCAGAACTCTATTATCTTTAAGCATCAGAGGGAAAGGTAAACATTTCAGAAGGTCTGTGAGTGATTTTATTTTGTTTTGATTGTCTCAATAAAAAACAAAAGAGGGTGAGATGGGATACTGTTTTGGGGGAAAGGAGGAGGAAGGGTGCATAAATCGCTAGCATATAATTGAGGTTTACAAAATGAAGGTTTTTTAATTATAGAAGAAGAGATGGCAGCAATGGACATCACATGAACCTCAATTTCATATGAACTGGACAAAGGAGGATCAAACATAATTACGGAAACATGTACACATGCAAAGATCTTGGCATAGAAATGCATTAAACTCAAAAGGAAAATAGGAGGGAACAGGGGCATGAGGAGGGGGAGAGAGGGGTTTAAGAGGGAGGGCAGTATAGGTAAAGGAATAGTAATAAACAAAACAAACTTGAATGTTGGGAAGAAGAATGTGAGAGGGGATCAAGAGAAAAGCAAGAAAAAGTAAAAACCTGAGATCAGGGGTGAGCCAAAGAAAGAAAAACAGCTGTAAAAGAGCAAAAATGGTCTGTTTCAATTAAAGATCACAAGTCTAAGGCAAATTCCCTCTTTTATCATCTTTTTATTCATAAATAGGAAGGTGGGAATAAAAAGAGAAAAAATACAAGAAAACAAGATGAAGAGTAAATACACACTTAAGACTCATATCTGTGACCATGAATGGGATGAACTCACTGATGAAATAGAATAGAACAATAGAATGGAGTAGAAAACAGAATCCAAGAATATGTTACTTACGAGAAAAACACTTGAAACATTCAAATAGACTTAAAATGAAGGGCTGGAGCAAAATCTATTAAGCTTCAACTGAACTCAGAAAAGTATAGGTATTAATCATGATTTCAAATAGCTGTAATAAAGATGGATATGATAAAAAGAGAAAAGCAAGAAAATTATTTTATGCTTAAAGGCATCACAAATGATAAACCAATATCAGTAATATATGTGCACCAAATAGCATAACATCCACTTAGAATCAACAGAATTGAAGGGAGAAATAAACAGTAAACTTTCACATTGAGTGGGGGAACTCCATGTACTCTTTGTTTTTAACCCAAATTTTGATTCTAACCCTGACTTTAATTCCATCTCAATCAATTCTATCTTTTCTAATCCCCTTTCAAACCCCTTTCAGACGAAGACAAATCTAACAAAAAAGATAAGCAAGAAAGATGTTAAGGGACTGAATGGAACTCTGGAAATATTAGAGATGATAGATCTGGTGATTACTAAATGGAAATTAAAAGGAATAGATAGATAGATAGATACATAGATGGCCAGTTTTTTTGTAATGGCCACTTATTGGAACATATAAACCTCGCCAAAAAAAAACTGAAAAGCCATAATGCTAAACACATAATTTGCTGATCACAATGCAATAAAATATATTCAATAAAAGATCCTTGATGGAGAAATTAAAAAGTAGTTGTAGACTAAATAACATAATTCTAAAGAGCTGATAGGTCAAAAAACAAATTATAGATGGAAACAGTAGAAAATTTCATCAAAGAAAACTAAAATAATGGGATAACATCACAAAACTTGTGGGATGCAGCTATAAGAAGTCCTTAGGTGGAAATATCTCTAAATATTTTCATCAACAAAAGAGAGAAGCAAATAAGTGAATTGGGCACAAAACATAAAAAAAATTTTAATAACAACTAATAAAAAACCTAGGCAACAAAGTAGAATTCTGAAAAATTAAAGAAAATATTAATAAAATTGAAAGCAAAAAACCAATTCAAATTTTTAATAAAACTAGGAACTCTTCCCCCCAAAAACCAATAAAAGTTAATCTGTTTTTTTAAGAAAGAGGAAAACCAAACTACCAGAATCAAAAATGAAAAAGGAGAATTAACAATAATTGAAGAAGAAATAAAGGAAATTATCAGAAACCATTTTGCCCAATATATGTAACATAACTGATAATTTGGAGAAAATGGAAGAATATTTATAAAAATATCAGATTAATAGATTAACAAAAGCAAAAATAGACTATTTTAATAGCCCAATATCAGAAAAAGTAGTTGAACCATCCATAAATGAACTCCCAAAGGAAAAAAAATAGGATCAAATAGACTTACAAATGAATTCTATCAAACATCCAAAGAATGACTAATTCTAATATCAAATAAGCTGTTGGCAATAATAGGAAAAGAAAGCATCATTCCAACATCTCTTAATGATACAAATACAATCTTTGTACTTAAACCATAGAGAGACAAAGCAGAGAAAGAAAAATATATATTAGTATTCCCAATAAACATTGATGCAAAAAAAACTAAATAAAATATTAGCAAATTGACTACTACAACATATTGGAAAGATTATGCTTTGTAAACCAGTTGGATTTATACCAGGAATGCATAATTGGTTGAACATAAGGAACACCATAAACATACTATTGTATTAATAATATAAATAATAAAATCCACCTGGTTATATTAGTAGATGTTGAAAAGGACTTTTGATAAAATCCAACACAAGTTTCCAATAAAAATTCTAGGTAGCATAAGAATAAAGAGATCTTTCTTTCCTTGACATAGTAAATAATATATATTTAAAGCAAGCACAAACATTATATACAATGGGTAAAAATTAGAAACCTTTCCAACAACATCACGGGTAACACAAGAATACTAATTATCACCCATAGTATTTTTTGAAATTAATTTATTTTGAATTATCAACAATCACTTCCATAAGCTTTTGAGTTTTAAATTTTTCTTCCCCTCCCTCCCTACCTCCCTTCCCAAGATGGCACACAATCTGATATAGGCTATACATATACATTCCTATTAAACATATTTTCACATTAGTAATGCTATAAGGAAGAATTAGAATGAACAGGAGGAACCACCAGAAAGAGGAAACAAAACACAAGAGAAGAAAAAAAATAGGAAATAGTATGCTGTGATCTGCGTTCAAACTCCATAGTTCTTTCTTTGGTTGTGGAAAGCATTTTCCATCATGAGGCCTTTGGAGATGTCTTAGATCCTTGTATTGCTGAGAAGGGTTAAGTCTATCAAAGTCAGTCATCGCACAGTGTGGCTATTACTGGTTTTGTTCACTTCACTCAGCATCAGACCATACAAGTCTTTGCAGGTTTTTCTGAAGTCAGCCTGTTCATCATTCCTTACAGTACAATAGTATTCCATTAAATTCATATACCACAACTTGTTCAGCCATTCCCCAATTAATGTGTATCCTCTCAGTTTCCAGTTCTTTGCCACCATAAAACGAGCAGCTATAAATATTTTTGTACATGTGGGTCCTTTCCCCATTTGTATGATGTCTTCGGGATATAGCCCTAGAAGTGCTACTGCTGGGTCAAAGGCTATGCACAAATTTTATAGCTCTTGGGGCATAG